GAATTTTGTTGGGCTCCAACGTGGGTACCAGACACTGGGTATAAAATAAAATAAAAAAAACGGATAGATCCAAGAAGCACATAATTGTTTAAATCTAATATAGTAGTATATTTAAATATAACTAACTATAATTATATACTTATTTAAATTAGTTGAAACTTTCAAGTAATACTTTGTTTAATATGAATTATGATATTTATTATTTACCAAAAAATAAATTATGATATACTAGTTTGTTTTGTTATACATCACTATATCAGCCATATTAAGGTCTTAACTTTTTTACAAAAATAAACTTAATAATAGGAAAAATATGTATATATAAAGAATACTCAAAAATCTATCTATTTAATAAAAGGAGAGGCAAAAGCACTATATTAAGGCAACTGACATAATAACAAAAAGCCAAATGACATTGTTAAGACAAAATAAATTACCTTTCTAACTTAAAAAACCTTCTAAATTTGAAATTTTGAACTAATTGATTACTCTATTTGAATTAATAAATTAATAAATATAGATAAAGCCAGTTAAATTTAAAATCTAACCAGTAAAGCTATTAATTATGAAGAATATTAATTTTGATTTCAAACCATTAAGAAAGGGATAATACAATTCGTATGACGGTTTAATTATACTAAATAATTGATAAGACAATTAGATAACCAGGAAAAGAAAAGGGAATGAAATACAATTTTAGAAAAAATATTAAAATATAAGACTTATAATTAAAATTATGATGAGAAAAATCGTATATATACACGTAACTAAAATCATAATAAACAACGAGTCATAAAGGATAAAAATAAAAATTCCAAGCGATAGTGTTAAAATTTATATATTAATTAATTTCTCATATAGAAAAATCTTAGTTAATAAATAAAACTCAAAATTTCCTATTGAAAAATGAAAAGTTATAAAGATAATATTAAGATATTTATACATAAGACAAGGATATATATATATATATATATATATATTAAAAATAACGATAAATTTTTATAAAAATGATAAAAGGCTTATCTCTTTATACTTTTGATGAATTTAAAATTATGATTTAATTAAGAAATATTGTATTATTTAAATTTTAATTAAAATACAAATGAGAAAACAAATCAAATATCACAGTAGGAAAAAATGTATGAATAAGGGGGATAAAAATAATGTTAGGATATTTATACTTTGAATTAATTTAAAAAGAATAACAATATAATTAATTTTTGTAGGGACTTAGATATCTTAGTGTAACTAGATAAAAGAGAAATATATAAAATTAATATAATTAATAATGTTATTAATAGAGATCCTATCTTTAAAAAATTTTAATCATATATTAGGGCAAAAATTAGCGACAATTGTTTTTCCATTGCAAATCTTATTATCTAATATAATTTTCTTAATTAATGATGCAACCATAAATTTATCGTAAATCTGTGATTAGGTAGCTACAAAATATCATTTCATTAAGATGATTATTATTATTTCTTGTAGTGTTAAATATGCTTCTTTTATATAATTGAAGTCTTTGATCATTATCAAAACTAAATGTACTGAGCCTCCCCAGCAAAGCTCTTCAATACATGAACAGTTACTTAAAAATGACTTCTTAAATACCTACAACTATTAATAATTATTTAAATTTTAAATATAAAATTATATAATTAACAACAACTACAATAAAATAAAATATGAGTTTGATAAGTCTAAAAAGTCAATTGATAAATTTTGCTGCTATAAGTAGGCAAATATTGTTTGAGAATGAAGATTAATTGTGCATTTTAAATAATTATTATCATATACAATTACTATTTTCTTTCTTAGTCATATACAATTACTATTTTTCTATCTTATAAGAAAAATATAAGTGTCACATTATGACATCAATATTTCATTACATAATTAGTATTAGACGACTCTTGTCATGATTTTCATAATCGAGCAAAAATATTCATCAATTGTCATGGCAACCATTTTTATTTTTTAAGCTAACTATTTTATTTTCTTTATAATTTGAAGCATAAATATTTATTTAGCTATAAGATTTTGTTTCGAATAATTTCATTGGCCTAAAAGATTATTATTACTATTTCGAGTTTCAACTTGTGGCAAAAGTTAAAATTAGCTACGAAATTTTATCAGATCAATAAATTTGTGGCTAGATTATTCTGTAATGACAAATAATTATAGCTATTAATCCAACTATTGCCATGATTTTTTATAAGTTGTAGCAAAAATATTTATCTAGCTATAATATCTTATTTTAAATATTTTATTATGGTTAAAAGATTACTTTTGTTACAGTAACTTTCCGTTCGTAGCAAAAACTAACAATTAGCTACAATATTATGTCATAACAATAAATTGATGGCTATATCATTTACCTATTGCCACAGTTTTTTATAACTTGAAGCAAATATATTTCTTTAGCTACAATATTTTATTTCAAATAATTTATTGTGGCTAAAAAGGTTACTATTGCTATAGTAACTTTTAATGCGTGGCTAAAACGTATGAATTAGCTTCGAAATTTATTGTGGCAATAAATTTGTAGCTATTTAGGCAATTATTGCTACGATTTTTAGTAATTATAGCAAAAATAAGGAATTAGCTTCACCAATATAATTTTCATGGCTAGCAAATTTTACGAATTTATAAATAGCTAGAAAATTTTGATTTTTGTGGCTATTGTTAGGTAATAGCCACAATTTTTAAATTCGTAGTTGAGATTTCGTAGCTATAAATACATTATCTTGTAGTGGCTTTTACCATATCATTGTAAACGCTTGCATCTAATCAATAATCAAGAATAGCTAGCTAAATTTTGTCATATTTTGTTTCATATTATTATTTTTAAAACTTTTGCACGTCCTTTAAAAAGATATTTAATAGCTTTAATTATACAAGTATTTTCGCTAAACTCCTCACTAAATTAACACTCTGTTAAAAGAATAAACTTTGGAAAAATAAGTAATTAATATTTTAAAACAAATTCTATAGGTCAGAAGAACAAAGAGTTGAGACGGTTTGAATTTTAGGATTTTGTGCATGAACATGCTGATATCATTTGTTGTATACCATACATCAGAAAATATCTTCCACCAGCCCCATTATAGAAATCACTCCAAATTACTCCCTAATTTTCACTTGCCTTTTGTGTTGACATCTCAAGCTGCGACTTATATATCGAATGGTAGTTGATTTTTGCACCGTGAAACATGACTAGAACAATCTTTTCATCATAACTAGTTGTACCTTGATCACGCCCAACTCTAGTTCTAAAAAGGATAAGCAGTTGTTGTAAATATAATTCGGTCTAAAAGTCTGGAGTCGAATTCCACAGAGAACTAAGATTTCAGTATAATTGTTCAATATCACTCGGAAGACAAGCTCGAACAATTCCTAAGTTATAATATTAAGATTTTTAGGTCTAACTAATTAACTAACAAATTAAAGAAGTAAATTAAAAACTAGGGATACTAAGGGTTGGAGAAAAGATTAGGAGGTCTAGAGTTATAATTTCCCCAATGTCGGAATCCTTCTAGCTATGTTCCCTACAATTTTGCCAATGTATTCTCTACTGATCGTGGGCACTTTAGATGTCGTAATTCTCTCTCGAGCAACTACAACAATTTACTAGACATATTCTCTCGAACTACGCTAGTTGGCTTTATCTAACCGCTCATTATGACCACGTCAAGGCTTTGTTATTTCTAAACCTACCTTTAAACCCGCTTTATTGATTTCTCACATACGTTAGGAGTGACGTTGTTCAACAACCACCTAAATATGTATCCTTTCTCAAGCAACACATAATAAATAGGCACAGTCAATCGATGGCCATTCAATCAACAACAATAAACACGTAGTTGAACAAGTAGAGAAATCCAACGGCTCAATTATATAAAAACGTAACAAGAATTTATCCTACAAAAGGTTCAATCAAAACCCTAGATAACAAATTAGCTATTCATAATAGTATGTAAAACTACAATACTAAAAGTCATAACCAACAATAAAAAAGTAGGAAGAGGAAGGAAAAACTCGTAGAAGAATTCCCCGCCTTGCTCCTATTGTGTCTCTACCTCCTTAGGTCGAATCTGTGTCAAAAGCGTGTCCAACCTCCTCAAAATACCGTTTTCCATGTATATATACCAAGTAGGGTCGAGCCAAAACAATTATACCTTCTCCTACGCGAAAAAGGATAATTTTTAAGGTCTGGACTGTCGCGGTCGCGGTCCAGGCGCAGTCCGGGCGCGTTATTTTCCCAGTGCACTGCCTCAGTCCGCGTCCAGGTCCGCTGTCGCGGTTTCGACCGCGTTTGTCACCCTGTTACGTTTGGAATTTGGTAAAACGTAAAACATAAAAGTTGTAGCCCATTGAGTTAGCTTTCCAACGGTATATTATATAGCCCAAATGGAGTTCGGAGCAAAGAGTTATATCTATATTACT